GCTTTCGAGCAATTAAAACCCTTCGAGAATAAAAGCAAGCTACTTCACAAGACAGGAAATACAAAATGTAGAGGTCATTGCACAGTCTGGGAGGTGGGACTCAGATGAACTCTAAGAACCCTACCAAAGCTTAGCCTCTAGACTTTCTATGACATCCCTGCATTGCTGAGCTGAACACTTTTTCTGCCCCTAGGAAATGCAAGTTCTGCAGTGCGCGGCCGGAGGCAACGTGAACGTGGAGATGAACGCGGCGCCCGGCGTGGACCTCACGGTTCTGCTGAACAACATGCGGGCCCAGTACGAAGGCCTGGCCGAGCAGAACCGCAGGGATGCGGAGGCCTGGTTCAACGAAAAGGTGAGTCTTGTCTGGAAAAGACTCCCTCCGCGTTTAAGTGATACTCACAAAATTAAGATCTGTTCCCTCCCTTACACCTTTTCAGAGCGCTCCGCTGCAACAGCAGATCTCCGAGGACGTCGGAGCCACCACCTCTGCCCGGAATGAGCTCACCGAGATGAAGCGCAATCTCCAAACGCTGGAAATCGAACTTCAGTCTCTCTTAGCCACGGTACGCAAAGGACGATTTCTTATCATCTCCTAGGTTATGATTTTGTTTTCTTTTTAAAAATATTCAAGTACAGTTGATTTACAATGTGTTAGTTTCTGGTGCACAGCAAAGTGATTCAGATATATAGATACATAGCTACATATACACACACACAAACACACATATATACATATTCACATATATTCAGAATATATTTTTTCAGATTCTTTTCCATTATAGGTTATTACAAAATATTAAATATAGTTCCTTGTGCTCTACAGTAGGCCCTTGTTATTTATCTATATTACATAAAGTAGTGTGTATCTGTTAATCCCAAGCTCCTAATTTAATCCTCCTCCCACCCCCCACCCGTTTCCCCTTTGGTAACCATAAATTTGTTTTCTGTATCTTTGAGTCTGTTTCTGTTTTATAAATAAGTTCATTTGTCTCATTTTTTTAGGTTCCACATATAAATGATATTTGTCTTTCTCTGACTGACTTATTTCACTTAGTATGATAATCTCTAAATCCATCCATGTTGCTGCAAATGGCATTATTTCATCTTTTTTATGGCTGAGTAATATATTATACATATACCACATCTTCTTTATGCAGTCATCTGGATATTTAGGTTGATGGACATTTAGGTTGCTTCCATGTCTTGGCTATTGTAATAGTGCTGCTATGAACATTGGGGTGCATTTATCTTTTCCAGTTAGAGTTTTCTCCAAGTATATGCTCAGGAGTGGGATTGCTAGGTCATATGGTAACTCTATTTTTAGTTTTTGAAGTGACCTCCATATTGTTCTCCATAGTGGCTCCACCAATTTACATTCCTACCAACAGGGCAGGAGGGTTCCCTTTTCTCCACACCCTCTTTAGCATTTATTATTTGTAGACTATTTGATAATGGCCATTCTGACTGGTGGGAGCCTCACTGTAGTTTTGATTTGCACTTCTCTAGTAATTAGTGATGTTAAGCATTTCTTCATGTACTTCTTGGCCATCTGTTATGCCTTCTTTGGAGAAATGTCTATTTAGATCTTCTGCCCAATTTTTGATTGGGCTGTTTGTTTTTTTGGTATTGAGCTGTATGAGCTGTCTGTATATGTCAGAAACTAAGCTCCTACGTTATCATTTTAAACGTGTGCCAGTTGAAGTTAAAGTCCTTAACCACGTTGGGAATATATCCGTATGTATTTTCATGTAATTGACTTAGAACATAAGAAAAGAATAGGATTTTATATAACAGTTAAAACAGTATCATTGATGTCTTTAGGCTCATTCTACCAAAAAGAAAAATTTGCTGATTTTTATGAGTGTCATAGAATCTTTTTAACTATGGGTCAATGTGAAATTTGAAACGATTAAAGGCAGAGTTAACAAGAGGAGAAAGTCATCTGTCAAAGCAAATTTCTGCCTATCTGTACATCCGTCTCAGCTTCTTTACTGTTTCCCGGCAGAAACACTCCCTGGAGTGCTCCTTGACTGAGACCGAGGGCAACTACTGTGCGCAGCTGGCCCAGATCCAAGCGCAGATCGGTGCCTTGGAGGAGCAGCTGCACCAGGTCAGAACTGAGACCGAGGGCCAGAAACTGGAGTACGAGCAGCTCCTCGACATCAAGGTCCACCTGGAAAAAGAAATTGAGACCTACTGTCTCCTTATCGGTGGAGATGATGGGTAGGTGCACTACTTTACAGGGAAGATGCAATATACTGAAATCTACTTGAAACTTAGATCAGCGGAAGAGTGAACATAAATTGAAATGACCACGTTTATTATCATGAATGCTAAATAGTAAACATAATACACTGCTGCCCAAACACAAATTAGCCCCATCTTACAAAATCAAAGTGCCCCAAGCCCTGTATTTAAGGTGAGAAAATTAAAAAGACCAGCTCTTGATGCTAAAGCAGAGTAGTTTCAACTGTGTCACCCACTGAAACTGTTCTCACCAAACAAGCTAAAGAAAACGGAAGAGTGGATCTAGAGTTGAGAGGTTCTCTCTAAATGACTCTCTTTTGTGATGTTTTCAACAATGTGTCCACAGGGCTTGCAAGTCTGGAGGTTACAAGTCTAAAGATTATGGACCTGGAAATGTGGGAAACCAAATCAAAGGTAATTAAAATGGAATTCTGGTTTTAAGTTATACGACTTCATCTTCAATGCACAGCTTGACTGTTTTCACATTCCTGGAGCTTAGTAAGAACAGATATAATAAAGCTTTGTAGTAGATACCAGTGTGTGCTAGGTGTCTAACTTTAGTGATGTGTGCTAATTTTAAACAAAGTGTTATGACACCATGTTTTTAGCTAACCAAGAAATCAAAATTCCTGAAAAACAAGTTTAAGTATTTGTGCTTCCTGCATCGTCCATCCTCTATAAAAATCCTATTATTCCTTTAGTTGAGGTAACTTCTTATTTATTTTTTCTGCTTTTTTTCTGTGGTAAAATACACAGAACATAAAATTTACTATCTTAACCGTTTTAACTGTACAATTCAGTGGCATTAAATGCATTTATATTATTGTGCAACCATCAACACCATCCATCTTTAGAAATCTTTTCATCTTGCAAAACTGAAACCCTAAGTCTATTAAACAATAGTTCCCCATAGAGGTGTAGCTCAGTGGTAGAGCGCATGCTTAGCATGCACGAGGTCCTGGGTTCAAGCCCCAGTACCTCCATTCAAAATAAATAAACAACAACCAAAAAAAAGCTTAAAATTTTTTAAAAACAAAGAAACCAATAGTTCCCCATTTTCTGCTTCTCCTAACTGCTAGCAACCACCATTCCACTTTCTCTTGCTATGAACTTGACTACTCTAGGTACCTTTTATAAGTGGAATCATATAATATTTCTCTTTTTGTGATCAACTGTTTCACTTAGCATAATGTCCTCAAGACTCATCCATGCTCTCATATGTATCAGAATTTCCTTCCTTTTAAGGTTGAATAATATTCCACTGTATGAATAGACCGTGTTTTGTTTATCCATTCATCTATTAAGGGACACTAGAGTTGCTTCCACATTTTTGCTATTGTGATTCTATTCATCTTGTTTCAACTCTCTTAAAATCTTTTAAAATTTAACTTTTAGATCCAGTCAAAGCCATTGTGGTTAAGAAAGTTCTTGAGGAGGTAGACCAACGCAGCAAAATACTTACCACCAGGCTCCACTCCCTGGAAGAGAAATCTCAAAGCAATTAATCTGATACACGAGAGAGAGTATGTGCCAAACACTCTCTGAGAAGAGAAGGCATTACGTATCTGTCCGGAAAAATGAGCGAGTCTAAGAAGAAAGTCTGTCCTGTTTGCTGTCTTTCTGTTAACTGAAATATAATCTCTATCTAGGTAACCAACAGTGGTATCTTCCCATTCATCTGGAAAAACATTACACACAAATTTGATGACTCATTTAATTAGCCTACAGAAGATGTTGTCAATTCTTTGTAGTCAATAAACCTTCCTTTAGCAAGTTACCACTGGTAGTATTGTCTTATCTTTAAAGTGTTCATGACTGTGGTACAGATGTATGAACACCTAACAGCTCTTGATTTGTATGAAAACCTTAAAAAATAATTAACAGATTTCTTCTAGATTTTCATCAGGCTCTCTCAATAATTCAAAATGAGGTAAATTCAAAAGGAATAAAAATACTTCCACTGAAATCCCCAATCTGCCATACTCTGACATTTGCTGAAGCTGTGCACTTAGACTTCAGTTGTTATGACCCCACAGAGTATGACGGTTAAGAGATAAAGCAGAACACTTGCCTAAGGAGGGAAGTATCAACAGAGACCCTCCCTTGTGGGTGTGAGCCACAGAGGGCCATGCATTCGGTGTAAGCATGACCGAGAAATTAATTCACCCCGTGGCAGGACTGCAAAGAAAGTTTCCTGTCTCCCCATTTGGCATTAGGGAAGAGGGGGAAATTACCCTTAAGAATATATAATTACAAACCAAACTTCAGGCAGTTTTATAGCCAAAATTCCCATTATCTGGCTGTTCCAAAATAACTTTAAGCTGAGAATTCAGTTTAAAAGAATTCTTATACCCACTAGGTACCCTCCCAGGTGCCCTAATGGAAGCAAATACAAACTTTCTGTAGATAAACCCACCATCATCTCAGGCCTCAAAGGAGTCTCACATAAATAAAATTCTAAGGAAAATCAGTTGTCTGTGATCAAAAATCAACCCAGGGAAACAAGGTGCAATGAGCAAGAACCAATAGAGACAATTATAAAACAGAGAACATAAAAAATAGGATGAATATATTTAAAGAAATAAAAAACAACCTTGAAAACGAGCAGAATCCAAAAATCTGAATAGAATGACTAAGCAGATCTGAAAAAGAAACAAATGGCAACTTCTAAATAGTGTAATACAATGAAATATAAAATCTCATATTTAGATTCAGATTAGACACAATGCACAAGAATATGAGAAAATTGTATTCTGAAGAAATTATCCAGAATTCAGCACAGAAATGGATTAGTGTAGATATATATATAAAATGTTTACACACATGAACAAATATATTAGAAGATTGAGAGACATGAGGATAAAGTAAGACAGCACTATAAAAATGACATAAAAATTTGAACAAGCTTCTCACTGAAAAGGAAATTTATACATTCTGTAAATATACAAAAATATTCAACCTCATTAGTAATCAGGGAAATGTAAATTAAAACTACAAAGAGCTTCCATTTCCCACTCTCCAACTTAACAAGTATCAAAAAGTCTCACAGCATCAAGTGTAGAAGAGGAAGTGGAGCAACAGAAATTCTAATATTCTTGCAGGTTTATAAACACAATCACATTGAAAAATTGTTTGGTTTTACCTAACAAAGCTAGATAGTAATGTACAACATGATAAATATAATTAACACTGCTCTGTGTTACATGTGAAAGTTAAGACAGTGAAACCTAAGAACTCTCATCAGAAAAAAAAATCTATTTTTAAAATTCTTCATCTCAGGGAAGGATATAACTCAAGTGGTAGAGCACATGCTTAGCAAGCATGAGGTCCTGGGTTCAATCCCCAGTACCTCCATTGAATAAATAATAATAATTAAATAAAAATAAACCTAATTACCTCCCCCCAAAGAAAACTAAAAACAAAAACAAAAAAACATAGTGTTTAAAATATATATATATTTTAAAAATTCTGCATCTGTATGAGATGATGGATGTTCACTAAACTTATTATGCTAATTACTTCATGATGTATGTAAGTCAAATCATTATGCTGCACACTTTAAACTTATACAGTGCTGTATGTCAATTACAGCTCAATAAAACTGGAAGAAAAAATTAAACTAAAAAAGTAAATGTAGCTACATGATGAAGGAATTAAAATGTAAAAATTCAGTTCATGAAATCAGAGAACTTTACAGACATCAGAGAGCTTAGAAGTTCTCAAATCCATACCAAATTCCCCCAAAGGGAACTAAGATCCCAAAGGTTGATTCAGAGTCATCCCTGGTGCTCAGAATGAGAGAGCTCATCCTATCAATCCTTTTAAAACTGAATGATAATTCTCCCTGCTTTAGGATAAGGCTCAGGCAATGAACTGAATAAATCAGCCAACTAAAACAGAAGCATTCAGGAGAAAAGTGAGCTCATTCCGGGGAATGTGTTGCCAAAATGGCAAATCTACAAAGAGAAGAGAGACGGCACGGCTCCTGATCCTATTCTTTGTGATGCTTCTGCCCGCAGCAACACGGCGCCCAGCAAAGCCAAGATGTTCCTGCTCGGGTGCGAGGTACAACCTGGCAAGAAGGTTAACGTGTGTGAACTAGTGTCTGAGGCAGGAAAGCCATCCAGAGAGGGAAGAGCAAAGTGACTGCCTTGGTTCATCAGGGCCTTTTCCCGGCTTGATGTGAAAAGGGGTATATTTATACACAATATTGAGAGAACATGGCTGTAATTTTAAAATTAGCTACAAGATTTAGTAACTTTGACATGTAACTAAAAGTATATAGCTATCAGTGCAGTCTTCTGAACATTTATACATTCATTTCCCTAATTCTTTAATCCCCTCCTATAAAACTATATCCAGAACCTCTGGCAACTAGCCTTTTGCACTATAATTTAATGCTCTGCACTGGGGCCATTGAAACTCTTAAGTCTCATGATGCTACAACAACTTGGAAGTTATCTTAATGTGAGAAAGGAAACACTCTTCCCTCTCTCCTCTGAGCTCTGTTCTGCATAAGTGTGTTGGTGGCCCTGGAGACCATCCTCGGGGTTCAATAGTTTGTCAGCAGGACTCGCAGAACTCGGAAAAGCTGTTGGACTCACGGTTATGGTTTATTACAGGGAAAGGATAGACTAAAATCAGCAGAGGCAAAAGGCGCCATAGGAGACCCCAGGCATATGCTCCCAGCCATCCTCTTAAAGTGTAATGATTCAAACAGCCTTATTTCTCCCAGAAATGATGCGTGACATGTATGTAGTATTGCCAGCAAGGGAAGCTCACCCGAACCTTGGGGTCCGGGGCCTCTTCTGGGGGTTGGTCATGCAGGCAAGGAGCACCCATGTGGCTCAACCTACTCAACCTCCAGTCCCTTCAGAGGTCAAACTGATGCACTGTAGGTCAAGGACTCACCATAAATCACATCGTTAGCATAAACCTTCTGCATCCACAAAGATACGTTTATGAGACAGGATGTTTCAAGGCTTAGAGGTTATCTCTCAGGAGCTGGGGTAGGACCAGACCTTTCTTTGGAGTGTGCAGGGTCTATGCATCCCAGTCCTTCTGGGTTAACCCTTCACTTTACAAGGGAGCTCATGGCAGAGCCCTAAGACAGTACAGAGTTCCACAGCAGCACACTCGTCCCCTACAGCTCTAACCCTTGAACTGCCCAGATAGATGAGCCCTCCACACTCAAGACCCTCACACCCCCTTGGACATCCAGGCTCCAGTCAAGTGTAGCTCATGATGAAGTGCATCTTTCTTTAAAGTGACTTCTCTCTTAGAGCCCTTCCTCAACAGTCAGCATCTGCCAGGTCCCTGCCCATCTGTACATGCATAGATCCGAAACCCAATCACAGAGAAGACTTGACATCTTTCACAGAAGGCCCCTCAGCCTCTACATAAAACAGAAGATCAAAAGTTACCCCCTGGGTGTACCTGAATCTCCGCTCAGGATCAGAGGGATTTCATCCTGTTTGGAAGCTTTGACTGTGTAGGAGGGATAGATTTGTCTGTATGTGAAAAATAACTGAACCAAGGCAAGCTTAAGAAAAATTCACATTCATTGAAACCAACTTCCAGGTAATTAAAACAAAAGTGGGAGATTCAATCAATACAGATAGATCTATTTCAAGCAGATCAGAAACTACTACTTTTCAACCCATTGCTACAATTAAGTTTCTAGGCTTAGAAGTACAAGAAAGAAAATACAAATGAGTACTTCCTTAAGTCTGACATAAAAATTCATCCTCCAGACGTAAAACTCACTCCACCTTACCTCCCCACCTCCAATATTGATTATTTCTAAAGCCTAGAGATTGAACTCAAGAAAACAAACACTAGCATAACAATTAATTGAATAGTGATTATATTTTATGTTTATAGATCGCTTAGAATTTAAATACACAGATACACAAAAATTGGATCATCACAAACCATAAAAGATAAAAAGTGTGATGACCATTTACAGATCAAGATCCAGGCTCAGAGGTGTTACTTGTCACTTCCTTGGTCTCAAAGCAATTAAGTGACAGTACAGAACTTGGACTCAGGGCTCCAAACCACCAGTCCAATGTCCTTCCCATCCAAGGTACCACTCTATGAATTCGACAATGATTTCAAAAAATTTAACCCCTGGAAATTTATTTCCCCCAAAAAAGTGATTTTATGTAAAATGTTTTTAAAACATGTGGGCAGACATAGAAACTAAAAGATATAAACTTATTTAATTCAACATGGACCTAAAATGTTTAATTTTATGCCACTGATCAATGCCAACTGAACAGAAGTTATATTCCCTTCATTAAGAAGAGTTTAAAATAATAAAATAATAAAATAAATTATAAAACTAAAATTTAGAAAATTAAAAGAGAAGAATTCACTAAAACAAAGACTGAATGCTTCTAGGTTAATGAATCCATTGTGATTGTCAGAGATTCATAGGAAAATTGGTAGATTTCATGGGAAGTTTTGCTTAATTATAACTTTCACCAAATTTGTTTCACATGGAGCATCTGAAAGCAAAGTTGCTGAAATTGGGGTAAATGATAAGAAAATATTCCTCATTAAAAAGAATTAAATTTTTAATTTTAAAACCTGCTTTACCATACCTGCCTGTCTCACACACTCACACACACACACACACACACACCCCAAGAAGTTCTCTCTTTCCAAAGAAAGAAATTATTACAAAATATAAACCACCCAGTGATAGTTTCTAAATTGCTCCAAAGAGACAAAATTTAAGGAGGAAACACTGAACTTCATGTGTAAGGGATG